CAGTTTTAGAATTTCCACCTGAAGCTTTGCCTTCTGCTTTACATGTGTCTAAAAATGTTATCTGCAAAGAAAAAAAGACACTGACACACCCTGTTTACATTCCACTTTTCAAAGGTATTTCGGAGGGAAATGTGCACAAAGTCAGCGGCGCTTACAGCAGCTTTTTGTCATTTAGTGTCTACAGTGGCACTGAAGTGATGTTGGGTGGGCACACGCCAGTGTAGTATTTTTCACACCATTGCCGGTGTGTCACCCTCCCCCTTCTCACCCTCCAAAGAAAAGTCACATGGTGTAAGATTGACAAGGAGCGTCTGTCGCATGCGCCTGCTCAGTATATTGATCATTAGGGTAGATCATAAAGGGAACGTGAAAATACACAGCCAGAATTTAAAAGCACTGTGCGGGACGGCAGGCGCAGATGCATAAAAATAACAGAAATATATGTGCTCCTCTTTTCTGTTCTGAAATGTACAGCATGAAACAGCCCACTGCCAAAACTGAGATGCTCCGTTTCAACATCTCCCCGAAAGAAGACAGCATCAGCACCAACAGCTATGAGTACCCCACCGGGACTGTCCGAAGGTCACACTAAATGGGTGAGACTGCCTGTAAAGAACTGTATATCATGTACGTCTACATAAATCACATTCACTACTCTAAATTCTTCCGTGGTTTATTTTCTTTTTAAGCCATGACTCTGACATGGAGGCAAAGAGTCCAAATTACCTTCCTGAACACAACCTGGGCAAGAAGAAGTATGAGACCGAATATGTTAGAGCTTCTGCCATCCTCCAACAAAAGTATCTTCTTTGATCACATGTCTTTTTTTTCTAATTTCCTAACTGTGAACCTTTTAATTTCCCCACAGCACCAGGGCAATGCTTCCTTTGGCATGTCCGTCTTCAATCGGGGCAATACCATCACGGGCAGCAGCATTCATGGTCTATCCTACGCTATTCTTACCAGTACTGTTTGTGTGTGTGTGTGTGTGTGTGTGTGTGTGTGTGTATTTGCTTGCAAAGAGTCAGATTAAGAGCGAGTTCAAGTTTCTGTAAACCTGGGTTAATATGGTAATGTGAGAATGGAGAATAGAAGGGCAACTGATGCCAGAGAATAGTTTGATGGAGAAGTTGATACCTGCCATGTATGTCTGAATAGTGCAGGAACAGATTTGGACTGAAAATGCAGGGAGCACTCAACATATGATGATAACACAACAGAGACTGAACAGAGCTGTCGAACATTTATACTCAGGTACAAGCAGGGCGGGAGAGCAAACAACGGAGCAATGAGGCAATCAAGACTGGGAGCACACACACACCACACAGGCAGGCAGAGTGTAGCACAGGTGACACAGATGGGCAATCAGATAAACAGGACACAGGGCTTGAACTAACACCAGACAAAACTAACTTAAACAGAACAGGAAACAGGCAGACTGAACACAAGACAAGAAACAAATAGGACTAAAAATCCAAACACAGAACAGACCAAGCAGACTAAATAACTGATAACACAGAGTGGTGGGAGGAAAGGAGGAGGGCCAGAGTCCAGAGGGGAAAACAACAAGATAGAGTGTCTCTGAGTCCATATCAGAAAGGAGCAGGGCAGGGAAAAATGGGCAGGTGGTCAAGGGCAATACAATGGAACGGGGCCAGACAGGGAGACTCTGGCAGATGGCCAGAGGGCAGAATAGGGGAACCAGAGGCCTCTGGCAGATGGCCAGAAGGCAGGTCAGAGAAGCTGGACAGTTCGGGTGGATGACCAGGTGGTCGACCTGATAGGCTGAGCAGGTCAGGAGGGTGGCCTGGGGGTTTGGCCAGCAGACCAAGCAGGTGGGGGGGTCGACCAAGAGCATGAGCAGTGATCTCTGGAGGCCAAGCAGAAGGTCGACGGCGGGGACTGTAAACTTCAGGAGGCAGGACAGGGGGCCGGCAATGAAGGTTTAAGGCAAGACCTACTACTGAGTGCAAGCAACTTGCCTGAGACACTGACTGCTACGACATGACTGGAATATAGCCGGTTTTCAAACAGATCATTGTACAGATTGTCATCTGAATTAGACAAATTCATCTGTATTTCTGGATCCCGGCTGATTGCTAAATTCTAACATAGTTTTCGGTTTGTGTGATCATGCGCTTATGCGTCAAGCACTGTCTGTCTTGCTTCAAGCAATCTGAGACAGGCTGAGTAGAACAGGTATACATAGCCTTGACAGCTGATGGGAGGGGTGATTGAGGCATAGCTCCACTC